GGGAACCGGTCTGTATGTGGGATCCGAACCCTCGGCGGGAGCGCCGCCGCGCTTCCCAAGCGGCGTACTGTAGCAGTGCGCCACCGGGCCGGCCCCTCTTTTGTTCTTAAGGAGAGAAGTTCTTTGTCTTTTTGGAGACAAAAGCGTCCCTGAGAAGCATGGTTTGATAAACTCCTATGCTCAAAACAGAAATGTTAGCACGAGTTTAGTTGGCCAGTGGTCAAGCATTGCTGAGGTCTGTGAGAGCACCCACACACGAGTGGTTGGTGGGAACACTGTGCTTTTGAGGTCAGTGTTATAGTTTGAGTCCCTATGGAGATAGTTAGACCAAACTCTAAACCCACTGTGGGATACAAAACATAAAACTAAAGAAAAAACAAAACTACTGTACTATGAATAATAACATCCCTGTTTGCCTTATTTTCTTTGCATGCAAATAAACATGATGATTAGATTTGATTTCCCTACCGTGACTCTACATTGACAATGGCCATTTCTCTTTTAAAGCATTCTCCAACAGTTACAGAGGGACCAAGCCCACACTGTGACACCTGACAAAAGTCAATTCCGATCACTAAGTGATGCGGTACAGAGACTGCTCTCCTACCACGTGTGCCAGGGCTCCATGCCCACTGAGGACGACTTGAGGAAAGGTAAACAGGCCATAACCCCCTCCCATGGCTGCCCTGTGGAAGAGCAAGAGCCACGTCACCCCTGATGGTAGACAATTGTTGGCTTTAGTCACAGACCTGACTTGTTCCTGATTTAATCAATTTCCCAGTCCATGTTTAAGGTTGTGACTTATTCTTCTCAATATTCTATGAAGGGGATACCCAAATGTCAGAATGTTTTATTGACCAGTTGGGGGACAGTGAATACAAAGCCTTGTTTGGACTGCTGCAGATGGTATGGCTCTAGACAGCGTACTCCACACAGCAACTTAACATAGTCCTTGCCTTTAGGCAGAATGTATACCTTTAGCTGTTTCTACCAGTTTTGTTAATTAGATAGATACTTTAGCCCCCAAAAGCATTCCCTGAGGTTCCAAAGTGAGTCTAGGGCACTGGCCATACATCAAGAAACTGGTAAACAGGTTAGGGATAAGGGCCCCCTCTCCCACCCTAGAACTCAGCCCATTCTGATGCCTGGCCCTGCTGCCTTTCCCAGTTGTATGGCTTAGTTGCATCTGTCCTTCCCACCATCACTGCTAAGCCTGACTTTACCAGTGCCCTCCTCTGCTTCACTCCATTCCTGGGCTGCTACCAGGCTTGTTCTTCCTGGCCAAAGTCTCTGATCTCAGAGCACAGTGATTTCTGTCAGTCCACTGGGAGCTTCTCTGGGACATTCAGGGAATAGGGTCAAGATTCAGCATTAAACAAAGGTGTGAAGACTCTGAGAAGAAGAGTGAATCAGAAAATGTCAGATCTTTGAAGACCAACAAAGGACAGAGCCACAGAACCATGACCTGTGAGATGTCACGAACTAGTTTGTATCTTTACATTAAACCAGTCTACCCAGCCCAGGCAGTTGGACTTTATTGTTTCAACTGCTTTAGTTTTTCATATTATTGGAAGGGAGTGGAGGCTTCACTCATCTAAACTAGCAGATCACTCTCTATTTATTGATATTTGTTGCCGGTTTGTTATATGGTTTTATAGGTGTTATTCAAAGGTACTGTGCTTTTGGTCTCCTAATTACAGTTTAAGTAGGCTAATAATAAAGTGAGTTTCTGTGACCACATACCAGTGGATAGTGCAGAAGAAAGCAGTGCAGAAGTATGTTGCTTAACCAAGGAAAAGCTAATCAAAGAAGAGAAAATTGCCATGGACAAGCCATGTTTGAATAATGGAAGAGTAATGCATTTCAGTCTTAAGAAATAAAAGACCTACTGTGTGATTTACATTTTTCTTACTATTTTCTCTCTCTCTTTTTTAAAGTGGACAATGAATTTGAAACAGTTGCCACTCAGCTCCTAAAGAGGACCCAAGCTATGCTTAACAAATACAGATGCCTGCTCCTAGAAGATGCAATGGTAAAATTCCTGCTACCATGTTTGTTTTTTAAAATTCCTCAGTTGTAGCCACTAAATCAGAAAGAAAAGATTTAAGGAGTTACATTTTCAGAACATAGTTTAAAAGGCTCAGACAGGTTGGCCAGTTAGCTCAGTTGGTTAAAGCGCAGCCCTATAACACCAAGGTCATGGGTTTGGATCCCCGTATTGGCCAGCTGCAAAAGAAAAAAAAATAAATAAAAAGCACACATATTTAAGACTGCAGAAAAACTTACACTTAGCTGTTACTATGTTGGTTAAAGCGCAGCCCTATAACACCAAGGTCATGGGTTTGGATCCCCGTGTTGGCCAGCTGCAAAAGAAAAAATTAAAAATAAATAAAAAGCACACATATTTAAGACTGCAGAAAAACTTACACTTAGCTGTTACTACAAATAACAGCAGCTGGGCTGGCCGGTTAGCTCAGTTGGTCAGAGCACAATGTTGTAAAACCAAGGTGTAAGGGTTTCAGATCCCCTTACCAGCCAGCCACCAAAATAAATAAATAATAGCAGCTAACATTTACTGTACTTTACTTGGTGGATTACACTTAATCGATACTTTTGTTTTCTTATTTAATAAATGAAGAAAATAGGGTTTTGATTAAGTAACTTGCCCAAGATTACATAGCTAGTAAGTTTGCAGTCATTAGTAGAGCTAGGACACAGACCAGGACCGTCTATCTGAGCCCCATTAACAATCTGCTCCTGTCTATTGCCTTTCATAGATGTAGAAGAATTGGAGGCAACTGCTGAAAACTGTTCAGAGTAACATCTGAAAAGACTAGCTGATAACAAATGTTAAAATTAGTTTTATTTTGTTTTTAACCGAGAGGTTATTAACAAACCATAAAAATCACATTGAATTTTTTTTTTTTTTTGTCCTTTTTGAGACCGGCCGCACCGCACTTAGCCAGTGAGCGCTGCGAGCGCACCGGTCATCCCTATATAGGATCCGAACCCGCGGCAGGAGAACAGCTGAGCTCCCAGCGCCACCCTCTCCCGAGTGCGCCACGGGCTCGGCCCAAAATCACATTGAATTTTTTTTTTTTTTTGTCCTTTTTGAGACCGGCCGCACCGCACTTAGCCAGTGAGCGCTGCGAGCGCACCGGTCATCCCTATATAGGATCCGAACCCACGGCCTTGGTGTTATCAGCACCGCACTCTACCGAGTGAGCCACGGGCC